TTTTTTGATATGGAATTTTGCTCTGTCACCCAGGCTGGAGTGTAGTGGTGCAATTTCAGCTCACTGCAACCTCCACCTCCCGCGTTCAAGCGATTCTCCTGCCTCAGCCACCCAAGTAGCTGGGATTACAGGTGTGAACCATCATGCCCAGCTAATTTTTGTATTTTTAGTAGAGACGGGGTTTCACCATGTTGTCCAGGCTGGTCTTGAACTTCTGGCCTCAGGTGATCCACCCACCTCAGCCTCCCAAAGTGCTGGGATTACAGGCGTGAGCCACTGCACCTGCCCTTCCCCACTCCTTTTCAATAACACGAGTGTGAGCCCATCCTGTCTCCAAAGCCTGCCTTATTCCAAAGCATCCAGTTCTAGGGACTCTTTCATCAATGCCTGTGACTTGTGGCCCTGATGAAAGTTATCCATCCTTGCAAATGACATCTGAGGAGGTGTCCCACTCAGAGGCTCTCTCCTCTTCCTTCCTCTGTGGATCTATTTATTCAGGAAAGCCCTAATTCTTCCACTAGTCTCAAAGTAAAACTACCCACTTCTGCAGAGAAGAGCACAGTGAAGAATGAAGATAAGGTCTAGGAGAAGAAACAGCAGACCAGATTCATGTTCTCTCCAGCCCAGTTGTGTGTAATTAATGATGGATTTCAGAGATAGAAACACTGCAGCCTCTAGCAGCTGCAAGAACTTTACAATACCCTGAACCTTAGCTACAAACAGCATATGAGCTAGTTACAGAGAATGAAATCTAAGAGGTGGTAGAAAACCAACTGACCAAAGAATAAGTAACAGTATGACTCAGGGCTCAGCATCTACAGAATACCCAGGCCTCTACTCTTCCTACTGCCTGGGATGCCTGGGGAACACATCTGGAAGCCTTCCAGTGTGGATCAACCATTCCTGGAAAAGTCAGACCTGACACACAGAAGACTAGAACAACCAGTCCCGGAACAATCGGTTTCATAAATATGGGGAGGAATCTTGGTAGTCCTGCATGCAGCTCCAGCAAAATTCTCCTGCCAGTTTTTGAAGGCTGTCTTGGAAACTGCTGGGGAAAGCTATGATGTAACACAGCAAACCACTAAGTATTTCAGTGCTTCACAAATCATAGATTTATTCTTAAATTACTCCCTGAACATGCAGCCTGAACATGTGTTGAGATGAATATATTAACTCAATTTCAGTCTGGGTAGTGGCGGAATCCTTCCTTTTTCCCTCCCTCCCTCACAGGATGTTTCTTGTTTTACAGCTCTGTATTCTGCCTTGATAGGTTCTCATTGTACCTATTGGGTTGATTTTGGGGGTGGGATATGACTGAAGTCTAATCAAAGAGGTTTCAGTAACCTTGGCTGCTGTATATGACACAATAGATGCCTCTGGCTATAGATAAGTAGATACAATCTCGTTGGTGTATCTTTAGGATTTAGAATCTAACTTTAAGAATAGGAAGTAAAAAGTATAAAGATGAAGGATTATTCCTACTTTGTGGGATTGGGGGGCTTTTACTGATTTAAAAAACTCAATTGTTCAGGTGAACGGTTACACTATAATGCACTTCACTGATTTCCTCAGCCCCTTTTAGCTCTGTTTTACCATGACTCCCTAATTTGTTCGTTACTCTAACATTAATGGAATGATGTTTTGTATTTTGTCGCATCATGGTGGTATCAGTACGAGTTTGGCTGCTTAGGTACAAATGAATAACATATCCATCAAAAAAGAGAAACACGCAGATTTTTATGTACTAAAATGGAAGGAGCTCTAAGTCACAGAAAAGCACATATGGGACACTAGCATTTGTGTGAAAAAAATATATGTACGTAGCTGTTTGTAAAAGCGCAGGCTATTTCTGGAAGGAGATACAAGGAACTGGTATCAATGGTTATCAACTAAGACAGGAATGAGTGACTAGAGTACTGTGTACCCTTCTGTCCTTTTCTATTTTGTTTTATTTTATTTTTGAGACAGGGTCTAGCTTTGTTGCCCAGGCTGAAGTGCAGTGGTGTGAACATAACTCACCGCAGCCTTGACCTCCTTAAACTCAAGTGATCTTCCCACCTTAGCCTCCCGAGTAGCTGGGACCACAGGCACATGCCACCATGCCTGGCTAATTTTTAAAAAATATTTTTTGTAGAGATAGGTTTCACCAAGTTGGCCAGGCTGGTCTCAAACTCCTGGGCTCAAGCAATTCTCCCACCTCAGCTTCCCAAAGTGCTGGGATTACAGGCATGAGCTACTATGCCCAGCCCCTTTTGTACTTTTGAATTTTGTGACCCTCTGAGAATTATCTGTTCAAAAGATAAGTTAAATACACTCACACCCCCATTAAAAAAATAAGGAAGTGATATGAACAGACAATTCACAAATGAAATATACTTAACAGATTAAAAAATCAACTGCATTAGTATTCATAAAAATGCAAAGTAACTCAATGAGATGTCATGTTTGCACATAAAAGTTGAAAATAACTCAGTGCTGACAATGGTACAGGCACATGCACTTTAACACATTGTTGGCAAGAATCTATGTTGGCAGTCTGCCTGGGCGACAGAGTGAGACTCTGTCTCAAAAAAAAAAAAAAAAAGGAGTGAAATATCGATACATGGTACAGCAATGGTACAGCACAGATAAACCTTGAAAACATTGTGCCAAGGGAAAAAAGCCAATAAAAAAAGACCACATATTATATAATTCCATTCATATGAAATGTCCAGAACAGGGAAATCTATAAAGAAAGAAAAGAGATTTAGCGGTTGCTAAGGATAATGGGAATGAGGAGACGGGGTTAAAGAGAATGAAATGTTCTAAAATTGACTGTGGTGAAGTTTGCACATATGTGTTAATATACTGAAAAAAACGGAATTTTTTTTTTTTTTTTTTTTTTGAGACAGAGTCTGAAGCTGGAGTGCAGTGGCATGATCTCGGCTCACTGCAACCTCCACCTCCCAGGTTCAAGTGATCCTCATGCCTCGGCCACCTGAGTAGCTGGGGTTACAGGTGTGTGCCACCGCACCAGCCTAATGTTTTTTTTTTGAGATGAAGTCTTGCTTTGTCACCCATGCTGGAGTGCAGTGGCATGATCTTGGCTCACTGCAAGCTCTGCCTCCCAGGTTCAAGCAATTCTCTGCCTCAGCCTCTCAAGTAGCTGGGATTACAGGCATCCACCACCATGCCCGGCTAATTTTTGTATTTTTAGTAGAGACGGGGTTTCACCATGTTGGCCACGCTGGTCTTGAACTCCTGACCTTGTGATCCACCTGCCTTGGCCTCCCAAAGTGCTGGGATTACAGGAATGAGCCACCACGCCCAGCTGAATTTGTTTGTATTTTTAGTAGAGATGGGGTTTCACTGTGTTGGCCAGGCTGGTCTCAAACTCCTGACCTCAAGTGATCCACCCACCTCAGCCTCTCAAAATGTTGGGATTACAGGCGTGAGCCACGGCGTCCAGACTGAATTGTATTAAATGGGAGAGCTGTATGATATGTAAATTATATCTCAATAAAGTATTTTGTAAAAGAGTTAACTAATAGCTTTTATTAGGATGGGATATTGGTTTGCTCATTAACCAGCTTCTTCTTGGAAGCTCCAGAAAGTGGAAGAAGCCTCCTAACTTGATTGCTTCTAACCTCAAACAATGACTCAAATCCAACGGTACTGAGAATGTTATTAAATGTGCAGACTTGTTCAATATTCAGAATATTCAAAGTCTAACATACGTTTCTTTCCTTTTTTTTTTTTTTTTTTTTAAGAGATGGGGACTCACTATGTTGCCAGGCTGGCCTCTAGTGATGCTACCACTTCCAGCTTCCAGAGGAGCTGGGATTACAGGTGTGCACCACTGAGTTCACCTCTAACATACTCTTAAATCTACCACTATTCCTAGAATGCATTTAACACCAACATTCAACAAATGTTGAATTCCATCTGAGTGTTTGAAACATGCTAGGTCCTATGATGGGCACTCAGGTCAACAAGGGAGACGGTGACCCTGCCCCAAGCTCTGAGACTGTTCTTTTTCTAATCAGAATCCAGCAAAACCCACGACCAACCCCGACCTCAAAGTGTCAAGGTGAAGTCCACTTCCTTTGGCCAAGCTCTTTCCTCCTTTTAAGGTTCCAGATAACCTGAGTCATTGTTAGGTATGTTCGTAGAACAATGGAATCTAGTTTGCCTTTCTAAAAACCTGTTGAAAGATAAGGACTGACAGAGGCTGGGTGCGGTGGCTCACGTTTGTAATCCTGGCACTTTGGGAGGCCAAGGCAGGAGGGATCACTTGAGGTCACGGGTTTGAGACCAGTCTGGCCAATATGGCAAAATCCCATCCCTACTGAAAATACAAAAATTAGCTGGGCATGGTGGCATGCACCAGTAATCCCAGCTACTTGGGAGGGATTGAGGCATAAGAATTGTTTGAACCCAGGAGGCAGAGGTTGCAGTGAGCCAAGATCATGCCACTGCACTGCAGCCTGGGCAAGAGTGAGACTCCATTTAAAATAGTAGTAATAATGATAATAAAGACAGATAGAAAAAAAAAAAAAAACTAGTGAAAGGAAGCAGATGGAAGATTTTCTGAGATAATTTTACTACCTCAAATGGGGGTCTTGGGTTCCCACAAGACCCCTCCCTGAGTGAGTTGGTGCAGCTGGCTGAGGGCTCCTCCCCTCCTGGCCCCTCCTGGGCCTCTCCCACAGACCTGTCCTTTCCGTTGTTTCCGTACTCGTGCTTGTCACTGTGCACACTCACTCTTCCTCCCTCTACTGTGAGTGATCATCCTGACTCATCGAATACGTGGGGAAAATGGAAATCTTATTTCAGATCCAAGTTTTTGAAGATGAGTGATAGTTGGATTGCCTCAGTGGGGCTGGAGATCCATTATCTAGTTCATTTTCATGAGGTAGGTGCCAACTGAATTACAGTCCACCGATTTATTAGAGCTGTTTAAAGACAGGTGATCCAGTGTTCATTTCTCAAATGCTATAAAGATAATTTGATTGATTATATGCCCTTTGTGTTTAGGGAACCCAATATCCACAAGAATTAAGAGTCACCATTCTTATGCAAAAATCAAAGCTACTTTGATTTAAGAAATGCGGCAAGGGACCCATGAGAATTAGGGTAGATGGAGAGAGGGAAACCCAGAACCTGGCTCTACCTGAGATAATGGCACCTGGGACAGCTACTTAAAGACAAGGAACAGGACACTAAACACCAAGAAAATATCTCTACTGTACACCAAGGAATTAAGAGTTCAGAAACAGTGGTGTTATTTTACCTGCTTAGCGAGGTAGAGTTTGGTGATAGAGGATCTCTTGGTCCTGGATTTATACACGTGGAGAAGCTGCCAGGGGGCCAGGAGCCATAGGAAGCCCAAGGGAATCCACACCAGAACAGTTTGCTCAAAACAAAGTGGCAGGTCTGCCTCTGGACTGTCCAGGAATGAGGAATTCTGGAGACCAAAGGGGAAGGATTGTTGTATACATGCATTGTGAAGACAGAAAACCATCCTGCACCACATCTCACTGCTTCCAGACAATTTAAACTCAACTCCATATCCATATCCAGCCTTACCCTTTAACTATCCATATTTTCCTATTTGTGCACATTGATACAAATTCACCATTTAATGACAAATGTAGTTACTTTCTGGCCAACCCACTCTCTAAACACCTGTCTTCTTGTGATTCTCAGTGAATTTCTGTACCAGCTATCCTGAGTAAACCTCACACTGCATTTGCCAAATTATAGGATGAAGAAGGGCTGTTTCCCAGTTTAAAGGAGAGAATAGTTCTCTGGGATATAAAAAATTATTCAAGTTTCTAGCACTAACTGAACTCAGTGGCAGATATTCAAACATGCAGGCGCCATGCAGGGAGAATGCTTAGTCACACTGTAGCATTTACCCTCCGATGGCCCAGAGCGCTTACATTAAAAACCTGTCCAGTTTCAGCATAGCAGGGACAACAGCATTGTTGGACAGAAGGCTTACTACCAGCAAGTTTTGTGCAGTCTTTGCATTCTGCGATAAATGGAAGTGTCTTGTGAAGTGGAAGTTGAGGGGTGGGAGGTGGGCACCAATTCTTGTCTCTGAGTCACATGAGTGTCGATTTTTCTCTTCCCATAAATAGTTAAAATTTGTTTTATATGGTTATTTGTACAGACTCTTCAAAGAAATGGTTGCGATGCCATGACCAAGAAAGTTGGTCAGGTGGTTAGTGCTCAGAAAGAATTCTCAAGAGATGGCCTGTCTAGATACTGCAGCCCATGAAGACCCACCTTGCCGTGGTATACACTCCTGACCTTGAGGGCCTTGGGACCCAGGTCCTTTCTAACACACGAGGTGCTGCCCAGGTGCTCTGCTATCTCATCCTTGCCCCTCTCACCTCTCCATAAGGTTATCAAATGTTATAATTCAGAAGAATCACTTAAGATACTTAAACTATTAATTGCCCCAGGTTATTCTGATGCTGAGGCTAGGAGTTTGCAGATGACACTCTCTCACTAAACCCTTACCAAAATCACTAAATCTAAGGTCCTTTTTTGTTTTCTATTCCACTAGACCTTTGATACTGTTGATTGGCCTTTATCTCGAATTTTTTTGCTATCTATGACTCCATAATGTTACACTGTTCTTGTTCACCCTCTAAGTGGTGTCTCTTCTTTTCCTTAAAAACAGTGTTACTCGACTCCAGTTGTTCAAAAATTACTTCAGTACTCATGATGCCCAAAGATGCATCCCTAGACTCAACTTCTAGTCCATATCATTAGGTGCCAGTCCTTCTAGAACTTATCATTATCATTTCAACATCAACATGTCTCAGCAAGACTCAGTCACGACCTTCTCTTCCTTCTACTAGCAAAGTATGCAACAACAATTCTCCTCCTCACACTGATAAAATTGGAAGGTTTTTACCTGTTTCTCTTTAGAGAAGGCAATTTTGCAACTAGCTAGTACAAGAGTCTGAGATAAAATAAACATATGACAGAATAAATTGCATTACCTTTCCCAGATCTTATATCCCTTATATTCTCTGGCGATATTATGAATTATGCTTTCTAAAAAGCCTGAGCTTTAGACCAACTGCACCTCTAACATTTCTGGATCTTGTTGGTGGCCACCCTAAGTTAACTAACTACCACTTGTTCTGAGTCTGAGAAGAGTCAATATGAAGATAAATGTAATTTCTCACCCAAAAAGTAGAGTTGCAGAAGTCCTCCAGCATGATTCCTGGACTGCGTCTGGAACGAAGACTCTTCTATTAATATGACTGTGTTGTTTTTTCTTTACTTGTTTCCTCAGAGAAGGTGGAACAGGAATTATCTACCATTCTGATGTTCTGTGTAAAGGATGACCTTTCATCCGAACCATTTAATCGTTAACCTTGCCTAGATGCATGTTACGTTGAAACAGTGGATGGACATGTGACTAAAAAGCCCTAGGGACAGGGAGACTCACCAGTTCCCAAAGTACAAGAGGCCTCTGGAGGAGTGGCCGTATATGAAAGGAACCACTGAAAGATGTCAACAGAGCTGGCCAACAAGTCAGGAGTGCACAGTCTTTCATTTTCCTAAGGACATATGACCCACAAAGGGCAGCATCAGTGGAGGGGCAGGCACCCCTAAATGTGCAGTTTCGCTTCTGTTGTAAGATCTTAGAGTTTACAGAAATGTGAAATATCCTTCTTCCTTCGATTTTTAATTAAAAATAGAGAACCTAAAACATGGTTTAAACATGATATAAACTTTGTGTGAAGAAGTCAGGTGATAAAATAGCTTATCCAGTGTGAGCCTATATGTTATATACATAATATAGGCTTTCAAAAGGTCTATTTGCCTGAGAGGTAGTATGCCAAATGGGAATGAAGCCTTTGCCAGACATTGTAAATATGATGTCATGATAAAACATCAGGGCCAGAGGAGGGGGTGATTCTGCAAACAGAGTGGTGGCATCAGTCGCCAGAAACTGTCATCGACCCAACCTTTTATTTTTTATTTTTATTTTTTTTTCGAGACAGGGTTTTGCTCTGTTGCCTGGACTAGTGTGCAGTGGTGCCATCATGACTCATTGCAGCCTTGACCTCATGGGTTCAAACGATCTTCCTGCCTCAGCTTCCTGAGTAGCTGGGACTACAGACACATGCCAACAAGCCCAGCTAATTAAAAAAAAATTCTGTAGGGATGGGGTCTTGCTATGTTGTCCAGGCTGGTCTCGAACCCCAGGCTTCAACAATCCTCCTGCCTTGGCCTCCCAAAGTGCTAGGGTTATAGGCATGAGCTACCATGCCCCACCTGACCCAACCTTTTGTACTGTCACTTAAATTGCTTTAAGAACCAAGCAGTATATGACCATGATATCATGAAAAAAGTACACATAACCACCCATGCAGTATCCTAACTAAAAAAACTGGCCCTAAATCTGGTCAAATTCTAGATCTAACTACCAGATTATAAGAAACACAGGAACATGCTAAAAGACTCCACGGGAATGCAATTGTCAAAATCCAGAATGTGGGAGATTCTATGGTGCAAATGACTCCATTTCTTAACAAATAAATTAAAAGAAGGAAAGGAGTCGAAGGAACTTACAAATTAAAAGAGAATCAAGAGGCATATCAGCCAAATGTGGACTGTATGGACCTTGTTACTTATTTTAAAAGTCAAGTATACACATTAAAAAAATGAAAAGGCAGCATTCAGAGTGGGAGAAAATATTTGCAGACCACATAACTGACGAAGAGTTAATATCCATGATATACTATAAGGAACTCATACAACTCAATAGCAAACATACACAAACAAATTTAAAAAATGGGCAAAGGACTTGAACAGACACTTCTCCAAAGAAGACATATAAATGGCCAGCAGGTATATGACAAATGAATCAACTTCACAAGTCATCTGGAAAATGCAAATCAAAACCACAGTGAGATACCACCTCATACCTATTAGGATGGCTATTATGGAAAAAACAAGATAAGTGCTGGCAAGGGTGTGGAGAAAAGGGAAACCTAGTATACTGTTGATAGAAATGTAAATTGGTCTGACCATTATGAAAACATATGGCAGTTTCTCCATCATTTTTCATACCACTCACCAGAAGAGCCAGGAGACGTGCTGTGGAACTAAGATCTCAGTTGGGGTAGGGTGCACCTTTAGGCTGCATACTTCTCTTGGCACGGTGGTAGGACTCGGGGTACGGGGGGAACTCTTGGTAAAACTTTGAGAAGTATAACGTCAAGGATTAACTCTGAAATTTCTAGTTAGGTATTTGCAAGTAAATTTACTTGTATACGAGGAAGACAATCATCAGATTGACTTACATGAATAAGAATCAAAACAGGGTTTGTAAAGAGAGGAGAGGGAGAAGGAAAAATGCAAAATCCATCTTGGAACAGTGAGTTTTAAATTTCTTTTCCTGGGTAGAATGATCAACTAGAGGCCATCACAGAAGCCAGTCTGAGATATCTGCTCTTGAAGCCTAGCTGGATCATCAGGGGAAAAAATGTGTTATTTGTGGACCCTAAAAGGCCTTGAGGTTTGAGCTGTAGAGCGTGCAGAAAGGTTGTCTTTGTGTAATGTCCTCCAGCGTCTTTCCATTGGTCCATGCACCTTAGTGAACTGCGTTATTTCCCTTGATCAGTGTAGGCAGGTTTGGGGTGGAGTAAGAAGGGTGGGAAGAGGCACAAGTCTGAAGGGGAAGGGGTGAAGTGGGATCAGTCTTTGGGCCTCAGTTTCCTTATATATAAATGAAGAAGACTGCAGGTTTACATCACACATTGTATCATGAGACTGGGTGGACACAATGTGTCCTATTTCTCTTCACAGTACTATTCTCAATTCAAAGGTCAGAGAAGGAGCAGTAGAAGTGGTAGCAGTAGTAACAATAATAATTTAAATGACAGCAGTAAACACTGAGCACTCACTATATGCCAGGCACTATCATAAGTTCTTTACAAACAATCTCTCTCTCTCTCTCTCCTTTTAAAGTTGGGTTTACTGAGGTAAAATTGTTTTTCTTTTGAGACAGGGTATATGGCTCAAAAGAAAAGGGCTAGAGTGCAGTGGCATGGTCACAGCTCACTGCAGCCTCGAACTCCTGAGCTCAAGCGATCCTCCCACTTCCGCTGCCTGAGTAGCTGGGACCACAGGCATGTGCCGCCATGCTCGGCTAATTTTTTTTGTACTTTTTGTAGAGAAAGGGTTTTGCCTTGTTGCATAAGCTGGTCTCAAACTCCTGCGCTCAAGCAATCTGCCTGCCTCAGCCCTCCCAAAGTGCTGAGATTAAGAGGCATGAGCCACCACACCTGGCTGAGGTATAATTTATGTAGAGTATAGATTCATCCTTTCTAGGAGTATAGTTCTCTGAGTTTTGATGAGGCAAGACTGACAGCCTTCTAGCCTCACCACACCTCTTTCCCACTCTGTCCCACATCCAGACAAGCTGACAAGACAGCATGGGTGCTCCCTTCTTTAGCACCAGTGGGAAGTTCAAACCACGCACCCTGCCTGCACATGGAGGACACTGCACTCCAGCCCACCCCCTAACCACCATAAAGACCCAAGCCTGTCACCCTTCCTGTTCCCCCAAGTCATTTTAAGCTCTGCTTGGGAGCCTGCCCTGCTCTTTCCGGAAATCTTTTCTCTTCTTTTCCTTTTTTTGCTTTTTTTTTTTTTAGATGGAGTCTTGCTCTGTCACCCAGGTTGGAGTGTGGTGGCGCAATCTCAGCTCACTGCAACCTCCACCTCCTAGTTCAAGTGATTCTTCTGCCTCAGCCTCCCAAGTAGCTGGAATTACAGGCACGCACCACCAAGCCCGTTTAATCTTTGTATTTTTAGTAGAGACAGGGTTTCGTCACATTGGCCAGGCTAGTCTCAAACTTCTAACCTCAAGTGATCCTCCTGCCTCGGCCTCCCAAAGTGCTGGGATTACAGGCATGAGCCACCACACCCGGCCTCCCGAAATCTTCATTCTACAGATAGTAAGTCTTTTCATACTCTTCTGTTGTGTGTGCATCATCAGTCTTGACATCTGAACCAAATTTTGGATGATAGGGACCATCCCACCTCTGCAGGGTGATCACAGAAGATAGTAAGGAAGTAATGTGTAGTAGAAAAATCTTTTCAACTACATTTTAAAAACCATTGTGATCTTATATAATCTTTGTTGAAAGACAGATAAAATAAAACTTAGGATTCCCAATATTCTTTCTTGAAGAGTTTTTATAGGAATCTAAATTTGAAGAATTTACTCCAGGAATACTGAATACCTGTTTTCCAGCTCTCCTGTTTTCAGTGAGAGTCTTGTGGAACTAATTCCTTAGAAAGGTAACCCACGAGAGATTATCTGTTCAAAACAGCAGTGACTCCTGAAATATGATAGTCTACATCCCTGTAAATTCAATCTCAATCACACTGTTTAAGAACAATGGTGGAGGTATAATTAACATACAAACAAATGCATAGATCTTAGATGTTCTATTCAAAGAGTTTTGACAATTGTATATACTCAAGCAAATTGTATCCCAAGCAAGATAGATTAAACTATTTCAGGAACAATGTAAGAATATATAATAATAATCTCAACCAGCAGTATAATAGTATAATTTCATTTATTCCTTCTAACTTTTGTACTTTTGTTTTCTTATGTTTTACTTCTACATATATCATAAATCCTACACAACATTGTTATTATTTTTGCTTTAAATGGCTAATTATATTTAAAAGACCTACATATGCACACAAACATAATTTATTAAATATAGAATATATATAACAAAAGTACTTAAAATAGGTCTTTTATATGTACCAGATATTTACCCTTTCTGGTACTTTCATTTCTTCTTGCCTTTGGCCTGAACAACTTGTTTAAGAATTTCTTGGGGCCAGGCACAGTGGCTGATGCCTGTAACCCCAGCACTTTAGGAGGCTGAGGCAGGCAGATCACGAGGTCAGGAGTTCAAGACCAGCCTGGCCAACATGGTGAAACCCCATCTCTACTAAAAATACAAAAATAAACTGAGTGTGCTGATGGGCACCTGTAGTCCCAGCTACTTGGGAGGCTGAGGCAGGAGAATTGTTTGAACCCAGGAGGCCATAGTTGCAGAGACCTGAGATCGCGCCATTGCACTCCAGCCTGGGCGACAGGGTGAGACTCCGTCTCAAAAAATAAAAAAAAAAAAAAGAATTTCTTATAGTGAGGGTCTACTGGAGACACATTCTTTTAGGTTTTGTCTGCATGAGAATATCTTCGTTTCACTTTTATTTTTGAAGGGTATTTTCACTGGATATAAAATTATAGTTTGAGAAGTTTTTTTAATTGTTATTTACTTTAACACTTTTTTTCATTTTGTGAATATGTAGTGTT